AGGCTCCAACGGACCAACACATTTAAGGGGTGATTGGCACAATTTGTGGGATTTGATTAAAATTGGATCTGCTGAAATTCACCTAGACAGCGCTGTCCTATGCTGGACATCGCTGTTCTAGGCTTGATTTTAAAAATTGGGAAGCAACGGTCATGCCAACAGCGATGTCCAAAAACCCCTACATCGCTGTTTTGGCTGTTGACTTCCAAACAAGGAAAGTTTTAGCCTTAAATTTCTTCCAACGGCCAGGTCTCTACATCGATGTTCCATACTAGAACATCGCTGTTTAGGTTTGCCTTTGAAGATGGAAGTTTTGGCCTGACAGCGCTGTTGCTGGGTCAACATCGCTGTCCAAAAACTTTCTGCCAATGCACTATATTTTTGGCTTAGGTTGGACAGCGCTGTAGGGGAGCCTACATCGCTGTTCCAGAAATTTCTGGGAGTCCAACCTTGGCTCAACAGCGATGTCTGATGTCCAACATCGCTGTTGGAAGACTTAACGCCAAACCATGTTTTTGGTTACCCAGGCCAGACAGCGCTGTTGATTACCCCAACATCGCTGTTGGGCTTGGTTTAGCTAGACCATGGTTGGTTTAGTCACGCCGTTAGCCGATGTCAAAAACGCAAGTTCTCCAAAATAAAAACCAAGTTTAGAAAACATTTGTTTATTGCATTTTGCTAAGAAATCAAGTAAAACATATTAAAAATCACGTCATTTAGTTGAAAACCATGGCTAGCCAAGTTCGTGCCGTTTTGCATGGTTTTCACTAAACGACCAAAAACGGAAGGTGGTTTTGTTGGAGAACTATTTAAATATGCCAGAAGTAAAAACCAGTTATAAAAAGTTAAAAACCACTTGGTTGGTTCGGACGCCAAAAACCGATGCCAAAAACCGAAAGCCGAACGCCGGTTTTTTTAAAGCCGAACGCCGGATGGCTTGGTTTTTGGCTTGGGCGAACTCCAAGTGTTTTGACCCAAGTTTAAACTTTAAGAAAGGTATTTTTGAATATGTAAAGGAGTTTTTTTTATGAATTAAGCCTAGAGAGCCAAGATTTGGAATTTTGTGCCGGTCTTGATCACATTAAGACCGACTCAATACAATTCTAGTTCTTCGTTCTTGATTCTGGGTTCTTGGTTCTCAAGTCATCATGCCATGTTCCTTCGCCTTAGTTTTGCTCACTTTAGCTTCGATATGTCGCGGCGNTTTGGCATTATCAAAACCTGTCATAAACGAACACAGTTTAGTACGACGAAGGCGTAAACCCGTGTTCCAACAATTTCCCCCTTTTTGATAATGGCAAACAAGACGGGGATATGCATACTAAGGGATATTTGTTTTGAAAAAGTTCCCCCTTGATTTGTGCTTAAAAATTTACTTGGATTAAAATCAAACGGTCTCGTTTAGAGAGACGTTCCCCCTTAGTATATGCATAGCCCTTTTCTTCCCCCTTTTGACATTAACAAAAAGATAAACGAGATGATTTTATTTAATAAAGGGAAATAGCTGAGTACAACGGAAGCATTAAAAAAACAGGATAAATAAAGTAAAAGAGATAGAAATTCTAGGGGAGTCCTAGTCTTTGTCTTCGGTTTCCTCCTCGTCGTCGTCGACGTCCATCTCATCGCCATCGATGGCATCGTCGAACTCGTCTTCATCCGGGGAGCTTGACGGAGCGTAGGAATCATCGGCTTCGTCCTCGTCACCGTACACTTGCCCAAGGAACATGCCGTGGTACAGTGGGGGGACGTAGTTGATGCCTTGGAAGTACGAATTCATCGCGTATCCTTGGCGTTGAACAGCCACGTCGAGTCGTTCAAGGTAGCCACCCATCCCGTCAACTTTGAGGTGGAGCCGGTTGAGGGAGTCGGCGATGGAGGCAAGGTTGGCTCGGGCCTGGGGTCCGGCTGGGCCAGCGGCAGGGGCAGTGCGGCGTGGCTCGGCAGTGGCAGCCGCGGTGTTGTCCGACCGCTTGAGGAAGGTTTGGTTACTAATTATCCAAATCTTCGTGGCCTTCATGAGCGGGCCAATGGTGGTGGTCAGCCTGAACCGTTCAAGGATGTCCATCACCAAGAACGGGTACGGGAGGAGGTGGTCGTGCTCGGTGGACGCAGCAATCGTCATGTTGATCATGACGAACTTTTCCCAATTGATTGGGGCCGAGTGCATGATTGCGTGCATAAGTTTGAGGTCTTCACCGTGCATGATGGTGTGGCCGTGCTTCCTGGGTTTGAGGATTCGGGTGACGATGTAGAGGACCAGGCGGCCTTCGGGTTTGGCGGAGTGGATGGTTGGGCGGCCTGAGGCATGGCGTTTGAGCTCGGTGATGCCAAGCTCGTTGAG